ATATATATATATATATATATATATATATATATAGAATTAAGATAATATTCTTATCGAAATCGATCTACATATCACATTTTTAATAAGCATAACTATATTTATAAATATTGCGTATATTTAGATTCTCGTCCATCACGATCTCTCAAATTCGTTTTATTCCTTCGAGTGTTATATGAGAATAAAGAATTTATTCGAAAATGAATAATCAGGCATGAGTCAACCAGTACCTAAGGCGGAAGACAAAGAGAGATGAATGTCGTTATATATGATTCATAAATTCTGCGCATTCGTTAAAAATTATTTTGTAGATGTTGCTCGAGAATGTTAGATTAGATACGTAAATGGTATTTATGGCGAATAAAATTAAAGACTGGCTTCGGCTATCAAGACTGTACCTCATTTCCGTTAAAGCTATTCGTCATCGAGTTATCATTTAAGAGTGTACAGAGAATGATCGCCGGATTCGAAAATACTTTTGTTTCTTCGTTTTTCTTTTTCTATCTGCTATCCTTTTATAATCATATAGTAGATATATTTTGAATGATGCACCATATTATGTTATCTTAGAATGTATGCATGCAAAAATTTTTATAATATTTTCAAGATAATTAAGAAAACAAATGAAAAAAGAAAATGCAAAACGCATTAAGATCCATCGATTGTTACAAATATAATCATATAAATATTGTAAATATTATAAATATCATTATGAATATATATATAAATATATATATAAATATCATAACCTCTCAACTTTGATTTTACTTTTCCAAATATATTTTTTATATATACTATATAATTTTTTATATATAATTTTCTCAATAAGTTAAGACGATCGAATACGCTAAATGGCAATTGATATTATAGTCTCACCAAAAGCTTTCTCATACATCGAGATATATTGGATTGTCGATTTTCGATATTATGAAGCAAATCGATAGAACGTTTATTAATCTGGAAAATAGTTATTGAATTAATATTGGCATGTAAAATGATCGCTTCATCAGTATCGCCTTTGTTAATTTCATTTTCTTTTACTATCATTCCTTTTTTTCTATTCTCATATTTATAGGATGTTAATATATTTGTGGAATTTATTTATTAAGTTACAAACAATTGAAACTTATATTAAAGCAAGATAGAAATAAAATATTTCTATTTTATTATTTGTTTTCTCTCACAATTATTGCATTTTGTTTCTGCTTATAATTTAACAAATTTCTTATAACTTAATGAATTGGTTATATTTTGATATAAGATGAACTACTTAATTATTGTCTATAATTCTGATTTTGTTGAAGAAAAAAATCACAGAGAAAAAAATTATATAGCTTAAAATTTATACTTGTACTTACTTTTTTCTAATATACAACGATGCACTGGAATGATGATATCTGTAAACATAAATCTTACCAAATTATTCAATTTTTCTCTCTATGATTCTTTTCTATTCTTAACGAAATTATTTTTGTTTCAATTGCGTGGAAACTATAGTTTGTTTCAATGGATCATGTAATGTATGTGTCAATTTTTGTTACTTATTTTAATTCCTAGAATCAAAATATTCCAGAATATTCTATATTATTTAATTCTGTATTTAAAGAATATACAGAATTGTATGTACGCTATACTAAATTCGATTACAAAGTATAGACGAATAACAAATTTATATTGATAACAAACTGATTATTTTTCGCTTGAAAAGAAAATTATCTGAACTAAAAATCGCATCGCGAAGATCTGATGTTGAACATATATCGGCTACTTATAATATATTATATGATATTATTATTGATTGTTAACCCGTTTAGCATTTTGTCAATATCCATATATAAAAACGTTTGTTTACAACTATTTTTGTCAATTAATCCAATACTGCTAAAACATTGTCATTCATAAATATAGTCATCTAATTATTAATTTTCTTTTGATCTTTATTGTTATCAGAATATAACTTTCATAAAATTGTATGAAATTGTATGAAATGTTTCAATTTAATTCAAAATAATATAAAAACTTAGACATTATTTAATTTCTGATTTCAATAATTTTTTGATAAAATTAAAAATTATATAAAATAATAATAATTTAAATATTTAGAAAGATAAAAAATCCAATATCAAAATAAATTAAATTAAAACTATTACATTTTTGAAAAAATTAATACAATATTTTTCTATCTTCTTTTTCCACGAAAACATTATAACGTTATGCATAAAGAATGCAATTATCTCGAATTATATTCTACTCATAATACTTCCTCTTGCATTTCTGTCCGCTCTGTGGTCCAAGGTGAACCACACAGCCCTCGCCGATGACGGTAACATTCGGCTCTCATTGTGTTGTAGTTTTCTCTGGTTATTCACGATTTTCACGATCGTGTACAGAGCCGCAAGAAACACCGTAAATGTGATGTAATATCGCGTTGCATAATGTTCACAGTAAAGATTACAACACGCACATACCGCGTTGCGAACTATGTCAACTGTTATTTTTCAAATAATCTTCATTAAGCAGCTTCGTCTGTTCGTATCCTTGAAATCTAGAATTTATTTAAAAAATGAGGACGCGCACGATCTGAATATGCAGCTTAGCATTAATGATCTCTTTCGGTGATGTAGATAATTTATTGGATAATAAAAAATGCAAATATTATCCAATCGAATAATATCTGTTTGCTTGATCTGTGTTATTTGCATTCATCGACAAATAATTTTTGATTTGATTTGATAAAGAAATAAATTATGTATTTTGAATAGTCATTTGTCATTTGAAATAATTTAAACGAACTATTGATAATTGTTGAAATATATTTTCGATTACTTTTAAAATACTTCAAAAAAGACAAAAAGCGGAAAAATACTAATAAGAAAGGTATAAAACATAGTTTCATTTAATATCATTGCTTCTATATTTAATGTTAGTTACTTTATTTATTTAATTTAACAGAACCTTTCACAGAAAATTATAATTTTGATCCTAAATCTTCACTTTTTTCTTTTATAATTCTAAATACTGATATATTATTATA